AGGAGGCGGGCGAAAGAGTGTGTGAACGTGACTGGCCGGCCTTCCACCCTCTCAGGGTTCCGGCCCCTCTCTTCCCCCTCTATTTCCTCCTACGCGCATTGCCGCAACTCGCCACCCGCCGAAGGGGTGTGTGTGTGTGTGTGTGTGTGTGAGTGTGTGTGAGAGAGAGAGAGAGAGTGCTCGTCCACCCCTCCTCTGCCCCACCCCTGTCCTCCCTTCCCTCTTTCCGCTTTTCCAACCCGCATCCCGCGCGCTCGTTAATTCCCCCTCTCCGTTTCCCGCTGCTCCTTCTCCTGCTCCTCTTTCCGCTCCTCCTCTCACTCCTCCTCCTCCTCCCGCCGCTCCTCCTGCCGCTCCTCCCCCTCCTCATCCTGCTGCTTCTCCCGCTCCTACCGCTCCTCCTGCTCCTGCTCCGCTCCTCTTACTTGTCCCGCTCCTCCTCTCGGGCCTCCTCCATTCCTCCTCCCGGTCGTCCTCCCGCTACTTGTCCCGACGACTTTTCCTTCCTCCCCCCCTGCTTCGGCTTTTCCTATCCGCCTCTCATTCCCCTCCCCGTTTCCTGCCACTCCTTCTCGTGCTCCTCCCCCGCTCCTCCCGCTCCTCCTCCTGCTCGCCCTCCTCCCACTCCTCCCTCTCCTTCTCCCGCTCCTTCTCCTGCATGTCCTCCTGCTTTTTTCGTCGTGATAGCCTCCCGTTTCGCAAGAGAGAGTGATAGCCTCCCGCCTTGCAAGAGAAAGAGAGAGAAAGAGAGAGAGAGAGAGAGACCTCCCCCCTGCTTCAGCTTTTCCTATCCGCCTCTCATTCCCCCTCCCCGTTTCCTGCCACTCCTTCTCGTGCTCCTCCCCCGCTCCTCCCGCTCCTCCTGCTCCTCGCCCTCCTCCCACTCCTCCCTCTCCTTCTCCCGCTTCTTCTCCTGCACGTCCTCCTGCTTTTTTCGTCGTGATAGCCTCCCGTTTCGCAAGAGAGAGTGATAGCCTCCCGCCTTGCAAAAGAGAGAGAGAGAGAGAGAGAGAGAGAGAGAGAGAGACGTCACAACCTTCTCGACTGTCTTCCCAAAGACTAAACACTCTCTTTCGTCCTGATAGAGAGAGAGAGAGAAAGAGGGAGAGACAGAGAGAGAGAGAGAGAGAGAGAAAGAGGGAGAGAGGTCACATTCAGTCAACTTCGACAAATTCACCGCTAACCACCACATGCACGCCCGCACACACATCAAAAGATTCATGGCAGCACACCCCCCGACCCCGAAACCACGTCCCGATGCCATATTGAATGCACGTCGATATAACCCGAAACACCACAACACTCCTGCCCACACACTCGAACGAAAAAACACCCGACCGCTGCACTGCCCGTACACCCCCCCCTCCTGAAAACACGTCGAGGTGCGTCCCTAAACGACAAAACAATCGGCCACTCGTCAAAACACTCATGCCACCACACCCCCCTATAAAACACCAACCCGCTGCATCGCCCCCTATCCCGATAGCTCCACCCGCGGCCCCGCCCGAATTCGAACATTCGCCCGCCGCACTACAAAAACTTTGAACCGACAAACGACAGGTACTCCGCCCGTGGGCCTGCCAAGGGAAGTCTCACACGAGGGAACCAGGTCTCGCGAGGGACCGTCACGCGAGACCCGCGTTTTCCTTTATATGTATAGAGAAGAGAAGAGAAGAGAAAAAAAGGCAGTACCCTCACCCAGCTACTGCCACGAGTGCACAGGTAGGCATGGCGTGTTACAGAAAGGTTCGGCCTAGCGATTAAAAAAGAGACCTGGCGATGCCGCGCAGGCCCGTGCACACAGCAGTTAGGTTTTTAAGGCAGTGGCAAAATCGTGCATCGGAAAAAAGACACTCGGCGGTACTGGCGGTTTGAAACCGCCGCTACATTAAGACCCGACCTGACCTGCCAAGCCTGTCAAGGCCCATTACCGAACCTGTTCCTGGCAGTCCAAGCGGTGAAAATATCCGAAAATCTGATCCGAGCAGAAGGTGGCCACTAGAAAACACGAGAGAAGAAGACCGTCGCATGCAGCCGCAGTGGCTTGAACCACCAGTACATCCGAGCCTATTTTCAATCTTTCACCGAGGCAGATTTTCCCTGTACCTCACGCTTTGCCAAAACGCCAGCGCGGCGCTTTTTCTTTTCTTGTGGCTGAGGCTGCCAGCCATTTCGGTCCGGCGGCCCCGAGCCTCACAAACTTCTAGGAAAGACTCCTTTTTCGATTCTCAAGTTTGCCTCTGGGCGATGTACAGGCGGTTCAAACCAGAAGTACATCAGGAGCATCGCGAACGAGCCCCTCCGAAAAGTTCGGGGACTAGGGACGGCGCCCGCCAGGGGGCAGGGGAATATTTTTTTCGTTCCGTGTTGCGCCTGCTCCCACCCCAAGGCCCGGGACTTCCCCCCCCCCCCCACCCGCCCTTCGGAGGCCCTGTCCCGAGCCTCCGGAAAATTTAGGAGAGGGTCAATCGCGATTGTCCACTCGGCTGGGGCCATGTACTCGAGATTTAAACCACCAGTACATGGCCCCAGCCATTCGGAGAATTGCCCATCATCTACTTCGAAAAAGTCAGAGACAGCACGCCGTTGATAAAGTACATCGGCAGCCGGCGCGTCAAGTTTCAGCCTCCGAAAGGAGTCTGCGGCCGATGTATGGCATGTACCGGTGGTTTAAACCACCAGTCAGTACTTCCTAAAGTCGTGCCCGTATACAAGCCACGATTTTAGAAAACGTATGGGCCACTACAGGATCGCCCAAATTCATCCGACTAGAAACGTTTCTACTCTATTTTTTTTGGCGGCCGATAGCTGGGCCAAGTACTGGTGGTTTAAGGGTGAAATCCACAGGAGAGTAATCGACTCAGTCTGATTATCTAATACGATATACTTCCTTACATTTACTTTGATTATTTGGACAGAAGTAACCCCCAGAACAGCACAATGTCGATCAGATTCCGACAGGATTCGAACTCAAGATTTGAATTTTGTGAGTGGTACTACGTGCCATTCAGCCACACACCGTGGTGAAATGACACCATGCCTTTTTTTTTTTTTTGCTTTTTTTTCGGTCTGATTCCATCTGACACCGTACTGATGGGGGTGAAAGAATGGGAAATGAGAGAAAAGAGGCTTGCCGTCTTCACTCACATAGAACGCGTGGTCATTATAGCTGTGTTTGGAGCAGCTTGGGGCGTCCTGTTCGGGTGAAGACAACAGTAGGCTCAGTTGGTTGGTTAACCCATGACATGTTGAGATCCGAACCTGAGTTTGAATACAAATCCAACTACATGGATGAAATCAACCACTTCTGCATTACCTGTGATCAGTCAAGTTTGATGATGATATCTCAAGGCCGTCATGCTTTAAAAGAAACAAGTGGACCCCGCCACGACTACGCCGTGGCGCACAGCAGCACTCGCTGATGGCGTCTTATTTTTGTTTCATGTCTCTCTTTCTCTCTCTCTCTCTCTCTCGTCTCTCTCTCTCTCTCTCTCTCTCTCTCTCTCTCTCTCTC